TTGGGCAAACTATGGGCGGCAAGAACCGGATTTTCCGAACCCAAGTCCCAAAAATGTTGCACCTAATTTTGAATTGAGCCGGCTCGCCGGACCAGGTCTACCCTTATGACAATTATTCACTCTTGCTTCTTGTCCAATCTCCTTCAATATTTTATTCCCTTAGAGAAAATGCAATTATAAAACAGGATATTGCCCTAAATATGACTATTATGTTTTCATTTTCTAAATAGGATTAAATATTGTCATGTTTTGGCAATACTAGATTTTAAACATTACAGTATATTTCAAACTTGATATTTATTAATCTTATTTTGGCAATAAGAACATGATGTTTTATTTTGAAATTTTCAAACGCTTCCTATTTTGAAATTTTCTCTTATAAATCAATGGTTTGCAAAACTATTATGAGACCATTTTTCTAACGTATTATAGGTTTTATTATTATCTTTGTTCCTTTTGATTTGTAATATATTTATATACTATTCACATGTTAAGCTTTGACTACATTTTATTTATTATGATTTGAGTTTTTTTTTTGAAAAATCTTGTTCAACTCTTGTTCAGGAAGAGTTAGCCCAGACAAGAGGCCTATATTTTTTTGTCTGGGGCCTCCAAAATTCTCAAGACGCCTCTGCCCAAAACGGTACAGTTTTATGCTTCCTATTAAAAAAAAGAGCAAATCGCCGGATCCCCTTCATCTCCTTCATTGTTTCATCTCACCATGGAACTCCGCCGCATGTGGGACTAGAGGTTTCGCCGTCGCCCCACGGCCTTCCCTGAAATTGGTTGCACCGATGTAAAGATTAGGTCTATGGCTAGTGCAGGCGCTATGAGCATCTCAATGTCATCCTTCTGCGGATTGAAGTAAACATCGGCGATATGGGGCTATCCCTTATTTCTGAAGTTGCAGGTGTGTATTTTGGATCTGGAGTCCGTATGTGTGGGCCAATATAATGACTTCAAGCTAATTTTTTGTTTTAATCTATGTGTATAATAGTAATAATGTTTTTAATATGAAAGTTCAGATTCCAATGATGAAGACTCACCTTCTTACATCTTACTCACACTCAAGTTACACCGGTATTTGCCTAAAGTTACATATCTATTAGCGTAAGTTACATGTCAACTTTCTTCATCAAGTTACATCTCGCTTACATGTAATTTACATTTTTCATAATACGAGTTACATCACAATACATTGCGAGTTACACAACACAATAAGCTCTGTTATTAAAAAAAATTATTTTCATAAAAAACATTTTTATAGATCTAATATTAAAAACAAAACATATACAATATTTATGTAAAATAATTGGGCAATTAGACTTCTTCTTTTCATTGTTTACATTGAAATCAATATTTTATTTTTTATACTATGTATTTTGACAAGTTACTTTTCAAACGGACGGAAGTTACATTGATCAATAACGTGAGTTACATATCTTTACACGCGAGTTACATCATTCATGCTACTGAGACAAAAGTAAATACACTAAGCATGGTACAATGACATAGTATGGTATAATTTGCTGTTGCCTCACGTCTGCAAATACATCTTATTTTTATGAAATAGTTACATATTTATGATTAAAATAAAGATTTTTTATAAAATGTGACTAATGACTAATAATATTGAATTATAGTAACTCATGTTTAATTTTTAAATTTAAGTTACCATAACACTATAACACTACATTGTAGTAACTATTAGTAATAATATTTGTGTAAATAAGTTTCATTTTAATAATATTTTTTTAAAAAGACCATATATTTATTATGTGTATTTAAAACTACTTAAGTACATACCCCGTACTAAATATTACGGATTAATACATTTTTTTTATGTATTACGGAGTAATACATAATTTATACAGAGTATTTATTTGTACTTTTTTATCATTATTATTACATTGGTAATCAGTACACACTTTTATAAAGGACGAATTTTTTTAAGACTATAAACGCATTACATGAACACATCATGGCACAATTTAAATACATGTTACCTGATTAAAAGAGAAAATTACCCTAAATATGAGAGAAATGTTACTTTTTTGAACATAAAAGAGCGACTTTTACAGTAACATCGAGAAAGCATACAAGACAACATTCAGATGATCCTAAGTCTTATTAATAGACAGAGTCAGTCACCTTATACAAAGCAACCCGACCCATTTGACATTGAACGAGAAATTTTAAGTCTAAGACAATCAGAACTGAATCATTATCTACCAAAACTCCATCGCTAGTCTAGTTAGCTTACTACTGCCAAAGAGTAAACACGAAGGAGCAAGTGTGCATTTAATAAAATATTCTTTTTTAGCTCTCTCTTCAATTAGCTTTCTCTTCAATTTAATTTCAATTAGTCTTGTGAAAGGGAAATTCATTTGGAGAAGGTCCAGAAGACCAGAAAGTCTTGCGCATTTAATAAAATATACTACGTCCCTTTTTATGTTATACTCGTACTCCGTAATAAATAATAACAGTAATATATGAGTAATAAGTAATAACAATGTATGGAGTAATTCTCTTTAAAAAACAATGTAAGGAGTAATAATAGTAATAAACTAATAATAATAGTACATATAAATTGTTGCTCGAAGGATATAAAGTAAATTTCTACAGTTTTAAATCATAAAAACGGCCGATTGTAAACAACTCTTTAAGCAAACAACATATTATGAAATGCTAATACTATCAGCTAATCAAAACAATCAAGTGAATCTGTTGTTATTAATCAGCCAACAAAATTAGTCAACATCCAATAACTAACAGCCAATTGCCAAACCAGTAGTTATACCGTGGAACCGGTGCATGGTGAACACCATGCACCCTTGTTATTTTTTATATCTCCTTTTCTTAAAATTGTTAATAATTTTTTTATTTTTGATCCGATTTTTATAAAATTTATATCAATTTTTTTTATTTTTCATGATCTTTCAAATGAGACCAATATTGCCTATGTAATTTTAACATATAAACATTTGCGTGTAAAAATATGTAATTTAATTTTTGTCTCAATATTTTATGTGATGTAAATCCTATGTATTGAAATGTAACTCGTGTTGTTATAAAATGTAATCTCAGTTAACTATAAATGTAACTCGCTGCCTGGAATGTAACTCATATTACATCCTCTAGTGGTTCTCTCACCTTTTATACGAAATGTAAACCGCGTGTTACAAGATGTAACTTTTATCAAATTGATATGTAACTCGAGTGTATCCAAAATGTAACTTGAGAAATTTCGAAATTGTAAGGTGCGTTAATTAAAAAGTTAATTCAGGGAAATCGAAAATGTAAATCATGTTAATCAAAATGTAACTTGATGTTGATACAAATGTAACTCGCGTGTAGAAATATGTAATTTACGTGTAAAAATATGTAACTTCACATATAAAAATATGTAACTCACATGTAATTCAATGATTTTTTATATACACAATTTTAAGATAAATTGTGATTTACACGATTATTTTTTTGTATTAAATTTAGTTCGGTTTTCCTTATAATCCAATAATCATTTATATAATAGTTCCATAATTTGTTAAAATTACATAAGCAATATTGGTCACATTTGAAAGATCGTGAAAAATAAAAAATATTGATATAAATTTTATAGAAATCGTATCAAAAATAAAAAAATTATTACCATTTTTTAACAATAAAAGTAAAAAAAAAAAAAACCGGGCCATGCTCCGTCATTTTGGGATCGGGCACACCAAACACTACCAATATGTAAGAACCCCCATTTGAAATACTCTCTCATTCACGCTCTCATAAAACTTTACAACATTCTTTACTTTGCTGTTCAAATAAGTTAACTAGTTTTATTTAAAGTTATATGGTTTAAAATATTTATACTGTTTTTACTGTTTTATTTCACATCTAAGTTAAATAATTAACCCAAGTTATGATAGATTAAAAATTAAAATGGGCTAAATTATATACTCCTTATTTTATAAGAGATGGTTATAGGGGTGCGCACAATTTGATAAACCGACCGAACCAAACCGACATCGAAATTTCGGTACGTACCAAATATCGAACTGAAATTTCGGTTCGGTAATCGGTACATATAACTTTGAAAATTCGATATTCGGCTCTGTATATATATAATATTTTGGTTTTCGGTATATACCGAATACCGATATTAATAAAATAATAAATATTAAATATATAATATATTTATATATTTTAGCCATATATATATATATTGTTTTGTATTATACTATCGTATATTTATATAATATATATATATATATATATTTTATCCATGAATATATAAATATTAATATATTTATATATTTTAGCCATTAATATTTAATATTTATATATTTATATATTTATATATTTATGTGTATATATATCGTTATTTATAATATATTTTGAAATATATTGTTATATATAAATTTCTTTATGTATTTATATATTATATATTTAAATATTTATTTATAAATTATTACATAAATATGTTGAATGCCTATTTGGTAATTTGGTTTTACCGATTGCCGAACTGGTAATTCGATTTTACCAATTCCCGAACTGAATTTTTTCCGATTTTTACCGAACCAAACCGATTTAGTTGGGTTCGGTATTCGGTATGTGAATATGCATAACCGAAATTTCAATTTACTGAAATCTCGGTTTGGTTCGGTTCGATATTAGCGAATGAACACCCCTGGATGGTTGTGAAGAGGAAAAATTGATGTACTCTGTAACTATTTTGGACGCTTATTGGTCTCCGGACTTTTCACACATTGTCATCTTTTGTTTGTCATTGTTACCATGGGCGTAGCTCACTTGATAGGAAGAGAGTGTGAAGAGGTCCGCATTTCAACTTCAAACAATAATTTGGAATGAAATCTCACTCTCTACATTTATGTGTAATGAAAACTCAACTTACATTCTCGTAGATAAAGGAGTATTGTAATAAAGTCTATATAATGCGACGGAGTAATAAAAAACGATATTCTATAAGAACACATTTAGGGGAATATTTCTGCGTTTGCGTAATTTTAAAAAATTCCTCTCCAAAATTTAGTTTCCTTTTCAGTTTCCAATAATAATTCTCCATATTTAACACTAACTGCCATTCTCTTTCATCATTTACACTGCTCCGTATTTTTCCATTTCCTCGTCTTTAATGGTCACTCCTCTCTCTTCTTTGCTGAAGATGCGATAGAGAGAGGAACAAAGAGCCCATATTTCTTCTCCTTTGTAAATCTTGCTATCAATGCTGGCCAATTTAATCGCGCAGAAAATCAATTACACCCATGTTAGCGAATCTCTACCTTGTTGATTTTAATTGTTTTATTTTTTCCTGATTTTCTGCTCCCAATAAATGTTGAAATTGTGTTGTTTTCGATTGCTTGGAATGTGTTTGATTGGTCTATGGGGTCTTCACTGTCGCCATTCCGGCCGTCGTGTTTGATTGTTCTTTGCTTACGACTTCTCTGCTGTGGTATTATTAATTTATTATTATTGTTGTTATTATTTTATTTTATTTTCTGGCTATGGGTAGTTAGGGTTCATATTTCTATGCAAAAATGTGTACTGTAATGTTTAGGGGGATGAGGCCTTTTCTTTTGATTTGCAAAAAATTAACTTTGCGCAAATGTGTTTCTCTTTTTGGGGACCAGGTTCAATTGCTGTGGGTTGGTATCCATAACCCATGCTGGATCTGTATTTTTGTTATTCTCTTTTTATTGTTAATTTTATGTAGTATGTAGCTAGAATAGTTTAAGTTTTATTTGTTTATTGCTTTATATCGTTTGTAGTTGTGTCTCTGTTTCTTCTTGGTTACTGCTTTATTCATTTCTTTTTTTCTGTTCTCCAGGCTACATTATTGTAAGGGGATAAGTGTTACACATTCTCTAAAGTTAACAAAGATCACCATGTCTTGAGAAGAAGGCTCTCATGGGGTAAACTTGATAGATATCATGGGTAGCTTCAGTGAGGATGAAGGGGAATGTCAATTTTATGATGCCCCAGAGAGTATTTCTCAAACACCGGATTCGGGACACGCTTGTCTGGAGTCTACTTCTAATACCTATGAATATGATTTTTGGGTTCGAAGTCCCACAAGTATTAAAGAGCGCCGTAGGAAGTTCCTCAAATGGATTGACTTTCCCTTAGATAGGGTTCCCAGTGAAAGAAATTCCATCTCTAAAGATGAATCTGCTTTGCTCGAATTCCAGAAGGAGTGCAAGAGTGTACGCAGTTTGGCGGAGTATTTAATGCCAATGAATGGGCAATATGAAGAGTTTGAGAATCATTTAGCTGTTTCTCCCACAGTTGAGGAACATTCTGGACAAAGAGAAAACCTGGTCATAGATAACAAACTTCAGACCGTACTTAAAAGAGCTAAGAGCCGTTGCTTAAATAGACTGCGTTCATTCACATTAATGAATAGCGAAGGGAAAACCGATAATTTAAAACTCAGTCCTAGTAGCCATACCCACAGGACTAGAGTTCATAAGGTTAAGGTTCGTCACTTTAAGAAGAGATCAAAGGAACTATCTGGTCTTTTCATGGGACAAGACATTCCAGCACATAATGGTTCAATCTTAACGATGAAATTCAGCCTTGATGGGCAGTTTCTAGCAAGTGGCGGTGAGGATAACATTTTGCAAGTGTGGCAAGTGGTGGAAGATAAGAGATCCAATGTGTTTGATATCCCAGACCTGGATCCGTCTTGCTTATACTTATACATGAACCATCTCTCTCAAGTGACACCTTCGGCGAAAGTGAAAGGGAAAATTCACAAGTTTATGAGCATTAGCAAGACAGCAGATTCTGCTTGTGTAGTCTTACCTCCCAAGGTTTTACGAATTCATGAGAAACCCCTACACAAGTTCCAAGGGCACTGCGCGGAGATTTTGGATCTTTCGTGGTCAAAGAATAATGTGTGTTTCATTATACTCTATTTTTCAAGCTTAATTCTAAGTCTGCTTTTTTATAAACATTGGTTCTCCTGCAGCTTCTTCTTTCGTGCTCTATCGACAAAACTGTGCGTCTGTGGAAAGTGGGATCAGATCAATGCCTTAGAGTCTTCTCTCATAGTAATTATGGTACCCTCTAGTTCAATTTTGTGCTCAGTGACTAGATATAATTCTTTTTGTTGAGCCTTATTTTTTTTTAATATTATTATGATGCAGTTACATGTGTTCAGTTCAATCCTGTAAATGATGGTTACTTCATTAGTGGTTCGATTGATGGGAAGACACGCATTTGGGCTACCAATGGTGGTCAAGTAGTTGACTGGACTGAAATAAAAGACATAGTCACTGCTGTTTCCTATCATCCAAGTGGGCAGGTCTGCTTGACTGCCAACTCTTTTTTCAAAAATTGAGTTATAGTTCCTAAAATTAATGAATGAAAACATACTTTTATTTGATTATAGGGTGGCATTATTGGATCATTAACAGGCTCCTGTCACTTTTTCAATGCAACAGGTAATGCTTGCTGTTGTTGTTGCGCTTGTTTTATGCATATAAGGAGCAGATTAATAATTTGCCCCTCTTTACTATCAGGAAACACGATTGATTTTTCTTTATATTATTATTCCATCTCTTTTCTCTTATCTCTCTCTCTCTCATCTTTTATCTTCTTTATCTTTCTATGTTCTTATGTGATTTTTATCTTTTATCTTTCTTATGATTTTTTATCTTTCTATATTTTCTCTTTCTCATGTTCTTATGTTAGAGTTATCTTATATATATATATATATATATATATATATATATATATATATATATATCTTATCTATTTTATTTTACCTTACCTTATATTTTTGTTTTTCTTATCTTTCTTATCTTTTTGACTTTGATGTCATGTATCGATTCATGTTAGCCGACCCCAAAATCTTTTGGGTATAAGGGTTGGATGTTGTTATTGTTGTATTATTACTCCATCTCTAGTGCATAAAGACAATAGACCCCCTTACCACCATTTTTAGTAATTATTTTGAGATATTAGGTTTTTGGGTATGCGAAATATTGGATGAATAATGATTTTCAGATTATTAGTTTGGATCTGTTTATTTGAGGTGATATGCATGATAATGCCAGGAATGGTTATATGTTTGGACGTAAGAATTTATTATCCCCGTGTTTACAGAAAATCACATTGAGTTGGAACCACAACATTGCATGGTTAGTAAAAAGAAGTCCGCTGACAAAAGGATTACTGCCATTCAGGTAATTTAAGTTTTTCCTCGGCCAACTTCGGTGTAATATTTATTAGCCTGTGTTTGGAACTCGGAAAATGTTTTTTTTTAATTTGGTTTCCACCTTGAAATATATTTACTCAGTATTTCAGAGTTTTTATATAATATAAATATTCAAATAAAATAATTATGAACACGTGACTAAAATTGATGCATTGAGTTTGAAGCAATTTTTTCATTTCCCCACACTTTCTTTTCTTCCAAATTTTACTTCATTAGTTTCACTCCCTAGCATTTTCCGAGATCCAAACAGACTCTTAGTGTTTCAGAAGTTCTGAAAATGAATGACATGATGTGAGCAGTTTGTCCCGAGAGACCCCAGCAAAGTAATGGTCACTTGTGCAGACTCTCAAGTCAGAATTCTCAATGGGATGAATGTCATCGGCAAGTACAAAGGTGCTTCCATTTCCCTGTAAATTGAATTGTTAACTGCTTAGTGCACACTTATGTGTTGGTGTTGACATTGTAAAGAAGTTTTTGCACGGATCATTCTTTGTGAATCTCTATTTTCAACTTTATTATACTCTTGCAGGGCCCAGGAATGCTGGAAATTTTATCTCTGCTTCATTCACATCTGATGGAAAGCATATTGTCACTGCCGCTGATGATTTTAATGTCTATCTATGGAACTACGTCAGCCCTGAAGAAAGTTCTCTGTCCAAAAAAAAAGTGGTCAAGTCACATGAGTTCTTCTCAGGTGATGCATCAGTTGCACTGCCTTGGTCCGGTTTGAAATTCAGCGATCCGCTGGATAGTGGTTGGAAAAAATATGAACAGGAAGAAAACCTATGCAGGCCATTGCCCTTCTCTTTTTACTCTTTGGGACCAGAACCTTTTATGGAGGGCATTCCCAAGTTCTCTGCAACTTGGCCTGAGGAGAAGCTTCTTATATCAAACCGTCATTGTAAATTATCCTCGCTGTCCAAATCCCAATACAAGTTTCTTAAGAGCTCTTACCAGATTTCATGTTCCAGCCATGCCTGGAGCCTAGTTCTTGTGACTGCAGGGTGGGATGGCCGGATCAGGTCATTCCATAACTTTGGATTGCCGGTACAACTGTAGAAGAGGATGAACACTGCTGGAAGATTCTATAGAGAATGTAAAAGTGATGAAATCGTAGCCAAACATGTCTTTAGTGCTTACGTATTCACTAACATAGTGTGGATTTAAAGCCCTAACTTTTGGTGTTGGCCCTGAGCGTTCCTGCCTATGCTAAGGAGGTTGCACCGGAAATAGAGCCAAGTTAGGCCTGGACAATAGGTCAGTTAATCTTTAGTTTTGTATAGAATATGTAGGTTTTCTTTTTTGTATTTGCATATATAAGTAATAATAACACAGTTATCCATCAATAGAAGTATGATGCAGTGTATGATCCCTTCGCGGGTTCATCAAATTTTGGTTCGCATAACTCATGTAACTGGTATTTGGAGTCCAAGTATTAGCAGGGGTGTAAATGTAATTCAAAATGATTAGTTGCAGAGTTTCATGGAATCATGAATACTGACTTGGGATCAAGGATAACAATATCGGTACTATGATGATATTGACACTCTTAACTTTGATGATATTTTGACTTTCCGAATTTGTAAAAACCTTGTCCAACCACATTTCCATTTTCTTTGTCCAAGTTTGGTATGAAATGTTGAATAATGTGTTCCAATTGTACAATTATGTACTTCCTTTCTTCTATTGGATTTTTTCAATTTTCTTTTTTGCTTTTTGCACAAATTTCAATCATAAAACTTTTATTTCTCATATTTCTCATATAATTTGGAACTAGGAACGTCGATTAAGAGAGGTAACATCTTTTTTGCTTTTTCCTAGTTGCAATCTTGTATAATAACAACATCCAAGTCTTAGTTCAAAAAATGTTTGAGGTCGGCTAACATGAATCGGCACATGAAATCGGAGCTTAAAAAGATAAGAAAGATAAGATAAAAAAAGATAAAAAAAAATTATTAAAAAAGATAAAGAGAAAAACATTAGAAAAAAGAGTCAACCCTTCACACTATTTTCTTCCTCTACTTTGCTCATTCAAAAGTCATACTTTCATCCAATCCAAAAAACATATCACTCCTCACTCCTCTAATTCATGTATGTTTGAGTCTCCCTCTTTCACTCCTCCCGTCTCCCGACCTCTTCTTCTCAACTCATCTAAGAGATACATGACTTGTTCATCTAGGTATATAGTCAAACCATCGCAATGAAGATTCCCTACTTGCAACTTTATAATTTGCATTGATAATGTTTTTACTTGCATTGAAATTTGTTGGAGTGGTCTGATCTGTTTAAGTCTAGTTTGGAATTAAAAACGGTCCAAGTAAAAACATCATAAATTGAATTGATGTATCTACTTCGGCCCCTCTTAAGTCTTAACTAAGTACTGCTCGGCGTCCAATTAGCACTTGCAGAAATTTGGAACACTACAATCTATATACCAATTTACGAGCGTGTTTAGTAATACCAAAATCGGTTGAATCTGCCGAAATTTATGAAATCCCGATTGAAGTGGGTGAATTGGCCGATTTTGTAAATTTGTTAAAAAATCATATTTAAAATATATATTATTAATAAAATAAAGAAAAAAATTATATGTAAAAATAGCTAAAATGATCCTCTATAGTAACTTCAGCCAATACAGTCAGAATATGAATTACATCCTTACTTTTTCTTATTAATACGCAATTCAGCGCGCAGAATCAAAAGTTACGTGTTTGATGAAAAAGTTGATTGATAAGTCTGATAAGACAAAAAACTATACTACTGGGCTCTACTACATATAAATATTTATACTACCTATGTTTATACTACCTAGGAATTTATTAGCTCCTCGCCTACTCTTATTAAAACAGTTTTTATTCTACTATATTTGGAAGTTTGTGATTACTATTTGAATTCCTTTTGCCCTTTATTAGAACAACCAATTTACATTTTACATACACCCGACTAATAAATAATCCGTATAAAATGTGGGGGACTAATGTCACACTAAGTTCACCTTTGAAAACATAAGAGGACCAAAACATACTTTTTTTTTACAATGCAATAGTACATAATAAATGTCTCTAAAACCAAGTAGATTGGGTTTTGAACTGAAACAGCTGTTGGCCAAGAGGCCGTTTGGAATTGGGGATAAATGTCAAGTGGGGACTGGGGAGGCTAACCAGTAAGTGTATAAACAAAAACAAGAGATTTTTCACAAGTCTGGAATATATAGCCAATAATGCTCTACTTACATAAAGTTTAGACAGCTACTGGACTGGACTGGAAGCAGATGAGCAATTTCCTTATCTAGGTGAGTGGCTCGTACTGGTTGTGCAGTTAGGTATAGAAATGAAAGATTTCCCTGGGACAGGTTCAAGCAGTTATTAGAGAGAGAAACAAGCCCTACTTGTTATGTACTCCAAGAGGGAAGTTGCAATTGCTACTCTTTTAGTGCTTCTGGGCAACAAAAAAAATCGTTTGTACACACTTTTTTGTATACACGTTTGTGTACGAGAAACAGGATAGATAAACGTAAACCCGTCGGCCAAGCACAATAGTCTTCAAATAAGTACGCCCAACTTCTCAAAGATCTTTGTGACAAGCTCAGATAATTGTGTGACAGGCTCAAACCATAAGCTAGTCAAGTAAACCACACCCATCAAACTCTGTGGCAAGTTAGTCATTACTTTAACTCACCTGCTCCACCAACTCAACCGGCATACAAGTATAAGCCCTACTTCTCAAACCACCTTTTGGTACTGCATTAACTTAACTTTTGTTCAAAAGGGCAATGTTAGCTCTTTCATTTTATTCTTCACTTTATTAATGAATCGTCATCATCACCATCATCACCCCAGTGCCGCAAAGGCTCCCACATACGATAGGTAGGGAGTCGGATGTACGCAGTCTTACCCTTGTACTAAAGCAGGGAGAGACTGTTTCCGAATGACCCGTAGTGAAAATCGCGTCAAAAATTGCATAGGGTAACCGTTACTTCATAACAAAGAAGCGCAGACAGTTTAGTGAACCATTTTGCTTTATTCCATCATATTTCCAAGCCAAAAAATAGTGAGTCTTTGGCTCCATTGAAAATGATTGAAATACGTTATTAAAGAATATGTCAAATATAATTATTTCATAATTCCAAAGATTCAACCATTGGAGGCTATGCAGCCATAACTACAATTTCCTTGAAAATGATTTTACAGAACACTTTTTTTTAAGACGAATTCGTAAATTCAGCCAAAGGCTCTATAAGTTAGGTTGGATGAACAATTGAACATTCATAGCTTTGAGCTGTAAACTGGAAAACAATCAAGTGATTTCAAATCAGACAAAGTATTAACAACACCAACCATTTAGGGTGTCTGTATTTGCTGTCATACAATGTACGAAAATTCTAATCCTCCAACAATTCAACATAGTTGATTTGATTCAGCATTAATGGCAATCGAGAAGTACACACTCGTAAGACATATCGTACGAAACAAATTTCGGACACAAAAGATATAGATTCAATGTTACCCAACAGCTTCATGGATCTGTCAATCGAAGAATCTTCAGACGGGGAGGGCCTCGACGGTGGCGGCGCGGGCAGTGGCTTCTGGTTTAGGGTTCGGGTTAGTGATGTCTGGATCGATGTGGGAAGGGATGGGAGTACAGAGCATGAGGGGAACATCCTTGGCCTCTTCTTCGTCCTCGTTGTCGCTGTCGGACGTGTTGAGGTTGACGCAGGAACACCGCTCCAGCGACGCGAAGAACGCCGCCGCCACACCCGACCCGACCCACCGGGCCAGACCGTCCAGCTTCTCGATTTTCGAATTCTCCATAACTGTGAGGTGATGATTTCCAAAAGCGTTTCCTATTTCTTGAAGCGAGAGAGATTTTATTGAACAAGCTTCTTTTCCTAGATCAGACGCGAGAAAGATCAGGATCCGAGAGGAACTGACCAACTGGTCAAGATGGGTTTTTAAAATTAAAAAATGAGATGGAGCTAATTAGTTAAAAACATTTTTTTGGGAATAAAAACATGTCAGTCCTATTTTGTAATTTTCAAATCGTTTTAGTCCTATTTTGGGTAATATCTCTATATACTTCTGTCTGTGCGTAAATATACCACTAGTTGTGTTGGTCAGATGGAGAAATTCAGCAAATTGAGGAACTACATTCAAAAGGTAAGACAACTTAGGTTAGCAAGTGGTGATGCCATGACAATTCAAGAGTTCTTTGCTACAATGCAAGCTCAATGGCCCGGATTTTTCTTTGTCCTTGACTTAGATGATGAATCTCGATTGCGTAATGTGTTTTGGGCCGACAACCGATGTAGATATGCGTACAAAGAGTTTGGAGATGTCATCACTTTTGACATGACCTACCTCACGAATCGGTATGACATGCCTTTTGCACCATTTGTGGGAGTTAATCATCACGGTCAATCAATTTTGCTTGGATGCGGATTAATCTCTAATGAAGATACGCAAACATTCGTATGGCTCTTTAAAGCATGGTTGAGTGTATGGAAGGATGTGCTCCGATGGGCATTATTACCGACCAAGACCGTGCAATGCAAAACGTCATCCAAATTGTTTTCCCAAATACAAGACACGGATGGTGTTTATGGCATATTATGAAAAAGGTACCGAAAAAATGGGAGGAATTACAGGGGGAAATCTTGGATGTTATTCATGAATCCATTTATGACTCTCAATATGTTCTAGATTTTGAGCAAAGTTGGAAGGACATGATACAAAGGTACCCTTTATTTCCTAAAAAATTGACCCATTCCAGAAGCAATTTGTCTGTGAAATAAGTTTATATTCACATCACAGACAACATAAGTGTACTACACAGATCGTGTAATGTTTGTGGGAAGAGAAGAATTTGTATGATCATGACATAGACGATTTTTTTACTGCACTGACATTTGCAATGTACAACACAGACACATTAATGTTTGCGGGCACATAACACATTGTATATGTGCTAAGATTGTGTGCCCATACCAGAAAGGTATTGTCTGTGTAGGAAAGAAATTTGTATGTCACAGACATACAAAATGTACACCACTGACATAATATTTTCTGTGATGTACATAGTATATGTAATTCATGTATATTGTTTAATGTTATTTCAGGTATTCCCTTGAAGACCATGAATGGCTTGCAGTGATGTACAACGAACGACACCGGTTGGTACCATGTTTCTTAAAGCCAACCTTCTGGGCGGGTATGTCTACCACTCAACGAAGTGAAAGTATCAATATTTTTTTCGATGACTATGTGAATTTGAAAACTAGTCTTAAACAATTCGTTGAACAATACGGGCGTGCATTTCGAAGTAAGGTAGAAAAATAATTTCACGCCGATACAAGTTCGTTTGCAAAAATGATTCCTTGAGTTACATCATTTGAAATGGAAGAACAAGTCCAAGAAATTTACACCATAGCGAAGTTTAAGGAGTTTCAAGATGAACTTGTAGGTACATTGTATTGTGATCTCCTACAAAGCGAAGGTGATAGAAAATTTAATGTAATGGAGATCCGAAAGATCAACGGGTTTCGAAAGACCATTAACTTTGTTGTAGAATATGACCCATTAATTACTTTTGGAATATGTAGTTGTCACTTGTTTGAATTTAGGGGTACGGTTTGTAGACACTTGATTGTGGTCTTACTAAGGCTTGGATTGGATCTTTTGCCCGAGGTCTACCTATTGAAACGATGGAGGAAAGATGTTAAAAGAGCGTACACAAAGGTGAAATCAATTACGATGGGTGGATCACAACGGTGGAACAAGAATGCTTTCATAAGTTGTGCAAGACGTTTGAATCACTTGCAAACATGATTGCGGATGATGATGAGAAGTACCAAAGTGTTCTTCTCTGGTTGGAGACTCAATTTTCTACATATACTCCTCCCCAAGTCGTTCATCCTTCTTCCATATGTGGCAACCTAACATCTATCCCACAACCAAGCATTGGTGTGCAAGGTGAGGTTCCAAAAATCATTGGAGATCCTAAATGTCCAAAGCATAAGGGTGCACCGAGGAAAAACTGCCAAAAAGGACCATTGGAGAAGGGAAAGAAGGAATCAAATGCTAGGGTCGACAATGCAAGTACCCCAAAACCGTCCTCTTAGCATGACAATGGACAGGGGGGATGGCATGACATGATGAATTGTAGTGGTTTAGATTTAAATCTTAGTTTGATGTAAATGTGCATGGTTCTTTGTAAGCAGACATTTATGTATTAAGGCAGAGACAGAGTGCTTGTTCTTCACAGACACATTACACAAATACGCCACACATCACAGACAGAGTGTTTATTCTTCACAGACACACAATGTGTTTGTGATAGATATTATAGTGTCCATAACACAAACAAATACGCCACACCTCACAGACAGAGTTTTTCTTCTTCACAGACACACAATGTGTTTGTGACAGATATTATAGTGTATATAGCACAGACAAATACACCACACCTGACAGACAAAGTTTTTCTTCTTCACAGACACACAATGTGTTTGTGACAGATATTATAGAGTACTTTAGGCATATTTTTTAAACTTGCTTTTTTTCTCAAAAATTCTCTTATTCAAACTATACAAAAGCAGATACATAGCACAGACAAATACGCCACACATCACAGACAAAGTGTGGGTTCTTCACAGACACACAATGTGTTTGTGATAGATATTATAGTGTACATAGCACAGACAAATACGTCACACCTCACAGATAGAGTTTTTCTTCTTCACAGACACGCAATGTGTTTGTGACATATATTATAGTGTACATAGCACAAACAAAGTGGATACAAGTCACAGACAAAAAAGCTTTCTCTGTTTATATGAACACCAATGACAGTTAAGTACAACATTGATAATATTTGGGAGTACATTCTAGGACATTGTACAACATTGTTATTGTAACATTGTACAACATCCTACATTTAACAACCAAACCCATGCATTCCAAAACTAACCACCACAAAACGTATATAGTAAGGTTACATCAATGATTGTACATACAAATCCATCGTACACTACACATTCACACCCATTAAAACTTGTCTACGTTGATCGCTTCCTCAAACTCCAGAGCCTCATTGCAAATTCACATCTTTTCGCTGCCATGTTCTCATACGCACACTCGGGCATCAAGGGCAACTTCTGCAACAGTGACTCCGCAAACGCTGCCACATACAGACACAATATAAAGACATTACAGACATTACATTTCTATGCACAGACAAATTGTATTTGTGTACAAACATTAATGTATCAAGGCACAAACAAAACGTATCAAAACCACAGACACAATATAAAGATTTAATGAATTACCGCGAACAAATGACTCATGACTTCATAGGCCCCGATCTTTATGGATTTGCGGAACAGAAGAACAAAAGCATCCAAATGCTTCTAAAAAAATCAAATCCTAAATCAAAGTGATGGAGTATATGGCCCGGGAACACCCGGCCCACAGACTCCTACTACTCCAGTGAAGGCCCAACAGGCCCAAAAGGCCCAACAGGCCCAAATCACAGCGCCCAGAGTACCAAGCAGCCCGCAAAGCGCACCTAGGGCGCCTTCGGCCCCCTGGCCGAAGGCTCTAAACTCTCACAGAACGGGTTTTCCAAGCAAACTAAGAAACTGGGAGAAAAACGGCAGAAAACAGTAGCCCTCGGCATCTGGAGCCCTCGGCACTAAGAGCCCTCGGCTAGTCCTCTGCAGCCGAGGGCACCTCTCCCGACATGATATACGCACCACATGCGTACAGATCACCGTACCCTGTACAGATGTCCCATCCAACAGCCGCATTAAATGCGGCCACATGCGGCTGCCAGCGCCAACCAGTTGAGGTGACCTCTCGGCCAATGGGCGCTTGACGCGTGTCCCTGTTCGGCATTTATTGCTACTATAAATAGCACCCCATTTCCCCATTTGTAACCACGCTGAAAACGCTCCACACTTATAACATACTTTCTCTCTCTACATTTACTTGCTCTGACTTCTCTCTTGTTACTCCCCGCAATAACTCCTCGGGTAAGCTACCCCCCGGGTACACTATCCATCACAAAGTATTCAACTAAAATAGTGCAAAATGAAATACTCCTTATTATGACTCACCTCACTACTTAGCCATTCATTTTCATCCATTAACACTCTTAAGAAGGTCCTATTTGTCGGGTAAGATGATGGAATATCTTGGTGAAGTACGCTAGGTTGAATAGCATCATCTTCCTCCACCCATGCCTTGAAGGAATCATAGTCACTGTCACTTCCTCCAACCTTAAGCCTCTTAGCCGTTGGCGCAATGAAGGGGTTGCAAATGTACTTAGATTTGAACCACTTTCTCTTCTTCAATTCTTTCATACTCACCTTTTCAATGACCTTCATGTCTACCCCACCAGTTCCAACATTATCACCAAGCACATCCCAATCCAAGTTTTTAAATGGAACTGTCAAAGCCGGGAACTTGTCATCTTCAACCTACACAAATTGATCAAAATTAGGAGATCGCAATGTGCACCTCATCTTCAATCCAAGTACTTAAATTGTCATTTTGGAAATCGCAATGTGCACCTCATTTAGGCACATCAAAAGATTTGTGGGAGTGGGACACTCCTCATACATGTGTCCTTCCTTACTTTGTTCAGATTCCCATTTCAACTTTGAAATGAAGGTAAGCCTCATTTAGGAATGATTAACGCAAAATCTTTCTTAACCAACAACAATGTAAATATCACAACCGGTATGATTGTATCCTTCAACATACCTCATCCACTATGTTCATTACAGGATCTATTTCCGAATTTTGTGTCTCACCATCAAGAGCAATAGAATTCTCCCCTTCAGCCTAAGCATATGGTATTTCACAGACAAATAACACTTACGCACAAACAACACAACATATAAATACAGAAAAAACATTGGTAATAACAGACACTACAAGCACCAAACTAACAATAACATTTGATACCTAGTTCTTGAAGAACATACTTTTCAATGATAAAAACCAAAAGCGAAAAAATATTAAACAACAAACCTCAGTAGCAACATTGACAATAGGATCTGCACACACATTTTGATCTTTAGCAACATCAGGACAAGATTTATCCACTTCACCCTACGCATTTGGTATTTCATAGAGACTTATTAGTTATGCACAGACAACACGAAATGTGCATACAGAAAAAAGTTTGCTACATACATACACTAAAAATAGCACACAAACAAGTTAAACAACATACCAAATCTTGTGATTCACCAACAACATCATTACTTTTCTCCCCTTCAACATCTTTTTCACCAACTTCCTTTTGTTCTTCCGGCTCACTTGGGGCAGAAGGACCCCCCTTACAAACCAAGAGAAAAGTATAGTAAGTTTACATACAAACAAATACCTAGTAAATACAGACACAACAATTCACTACACAGATAAATGATGTTTATACCTTTTCCTTTAAAGCCTTGTTGACTGTATCAATAACCTGAACCATCAAGTGTTCAGTTCACCAAGCTCCTCTTCCACTTTTTTCACCAGCCTTTGAACACTGCTTTTGTTCTCATCAATGTCAGAACACATTGCTTGAACTCTTTCCCTTGTTTCAACTTCAATTTTGTCTTCATCTTCATCTTCATCATCGGAAGCAGGGGGTGTAGGCACCTCCTACGAAAACATGAACATGATTTCGTATGATAAATATATATACTAGGGGACAATTATAATTACAAACTAGGAATGATAAAGTAAGAAGACTTACATTAGCAAAGACAATTTTAGATATAATTTATTGTCCTAAATACGACTAAAATAATACAAAAATTCAAAAATAGGACTTCTTATTGATTTATTACTCAAATAGGAGTTTTTTAGTTGACTGCCCCCGTTTATTTTTCTGGATTTACCCTCCCACACTAATTGAATGATTCGTCCCCCACAAGTTGTATGTCACACAGTCTTAGCCGCCATGCACAAAGTCCCAAACCCACCCTCTCCCATCTCTTCTTTCCATCTCACCCATTTATTTGCTGAGTTTTCCCCAAAATAATGTTAATCAAAAAAATATTTACCAAAATAAGGATAAATTAAAAATATTTCCCAAAATATTGTCGTAGTTAAAAGAGTCGTAACTTTAGGCAAAACAGGTAACACGTAGAAGAAACCATGCCAAAACAAGTAAAGCACGTAGTAACATGAGATAGGCCCCACAAAATAAAAACCTCATTTTTTAAAAAAGTGATATAACTTTTTTATTTGTACTCTGAACATTACAAAAGATACATCGAGATTCATAACTTTTTATTATCTTTCATATGACACCAATATTGAATATATAAAATTTTTTTAAAAAATAACACTTTAAAAAATATCTTATTTTCTAAATGATACATAAAAACTTTTTGTGTGTATTCAGATTATAAAAAAAAATATATCAAAATTCATAACTATTTATTATCTTTTATAAGACACCAATTTTGAATATATAAAATTAAAAAAGTAATTCTATTAACTGGTGCAGTTTAAGATCATTTTTTACCGCACACACAATTATTTGGAGTGATAGATTAGAATAGAATTGCACAAGGAATAAAACAACAAATAAAAGTGATGGAGTTTGTACATTTTTATTCTTATGTGTGCGTTGTTAAAAACGATTCTAAAAACTGCACAAATTAAGAATTAATTTTTAACTTTTAGACTTTCAAGTGTCTTATGATAGATAAGAAAGAGTTTTTTATCATTAAAACATGCTTCCATTTATATTATAAGTTGAAGGATCATTACATCAAATAAAGGAAAAACAAAGTTGACACCAACTAAACTCCAACAACTATGACTGTAAACCCTATGATCAGACTTAAAGACGGTTACCCCTGAAAGAGCAACGTGAATCGCTAACCATGCAGTGGGCTTGACACAGTCATCCATATTCTCATAGATCCAAACATACCCAATGACATAAAGGAAGGCTAAATTCTCAAGCAAACTGACAAAACCAACAACATAGTCGGTAGCAAGAAAACAAATGACAAAATAATAAAGGCTACTAGAAAAAATTTCACGGACTCTAGCACCTCGTACAACCCATGGTGATGGTTCAGGAGGAGGTCGTACCACCGGTACCACGCTAATCGATCCTCCTTTGTCGAAAGAAATCTGACCTACACCAAGCCCGTGCAACTCTCTTCGTTCCGCACTCGTAGCTACATCACCCCTCACGGCCATCTTCGCCGCTGCCTTGTCTTCCTTCCGGTGACTGCCCACCGAAGTGGTCGCTTCCCGTCGCAGCACCGAAGCTCTTCCGAGCAACCAATCTCAGGCGTAATGCTCGACTGCGAGAGAAATCCTTTCTCCGCCGAGACCTCCACAACCGGGAAACAAAGCAACAAAAACCGAAGCTCCAGAGAACTCGAAACAATCCCGCTCTCCTCTCAGCTGACCAGCGGCGGCCAAAGCAGCCTTGGCAAACCGATGGCGGACAAAGGACCTAGGCGTTACCGGATGGTAACCCTAGAGAGAGAATCATCCTATATAGATAAGAAAGAGTTATGAATTTTAATATATTTTTTGTAATAAAAAAAATAACATTTACAAAAAAGATATTTTAAAGTGTTAGTTTTTTAAAAAAATATATATATTCAATATTGGTGTCATATGAAAGATAATAAAAAGTTATGAATTTTGATATATTTTTTGTAATGATCAGAGTACAAATACAAAAGTTATATCACTTTTACATAAAAATGAGATTTTTATTTTTGTGGGCCCCTATCTCATGTGACATGTGGTTCTATGTGTGTTACTTGTTGGTTATGCGCAAATTATACGGTGCAACCGGCACACCATGAAGATGGTGCGCCCGGTTGCAAAACGACGCAGCATGCTGTTTTTTTTTTTTTTGCTTTTGTTGTTAAAAAATGATAATAACTTTTTTATTTTTGATTCGATTTTTATAAAATTTATATCAACATTTTTTATTTTTCATGATCTTTCAAATGAGACCAATATTGTGTATGTAATTTTAAGAAATTATCGAACTATTATATTAATGAGTATTGGATTATAAGGAAAATCGAATCTCTTTGGGAGATGATAGGTTTGTGAAATAGAAGATCGAATCTGTTTGGGAGTGAATCAGTGGCCTCAGTTACATTTGATAATACATTGAGTTACATCTTTTTATGAGCGAGTTACATCTTTTTATAAGCAAGTTACATCTTTTTATAAGCGAGTTACATCTTTTTATAAGCAAGTTATATCTTTTTATAAGCGAGTTACATATATATACACACGAGTTACATTTGACATGCCTGAACGCGACTTACATATATTTACACGTAAAGTTACATATTTTTACACGTAAAGTTACATATTTATACACGCGAGTTACATATTTATACATACGAGTTGCATTTGACCTGTCTGAACGTGAGTTACATATTTTTTTGCGTAAAGTTACATATTGTTACACGTAGAGATACATATTTATACACACGAGTTGCATTTGACCTGACTGAACGTGAGTTACATATTTTAACACGTAAAGTTACATATTTTACACACAAATGTTAATATGTTAAAATTACATAGGCAATATTGGTCTCATTTGAAAGATCATGAAAAATAAAAAATGTTGATATAAATTTTACAAAAATCGGATCAAAAATAAAAAAGTTATTACCATTTTTTAAAAAAGAGAAAATAATATCCCATGGGTGCATGGTGCTCACCATGCACCGGTTTCACGGTATATGCACTCTTGGCTATGTGTGTTACGTGGTTTCCCTAAGCCGTCATTCTTAATGGCGTCTCACTTAACTAGAGTTTAGGGGAACAGTATTTTTGGGAAATACTTTTAACCTAACATTATTTTACTACTTTTAACCTAACATCGTCAAGCGTCCTTATTTTGTCTAACACTCCGAAATTGAATATTTTTTTAATTAACATTATTTTAAGAAAAAACTCAAATTGTTATCTTTTTTTATTTCTCAATTGATTAATTATTTACAACTAAGAAAGCTTCTCTTTCTTGAGGATTTCAAATGTGAAAGCCATACTCCCCATCTCCGACGACCAACTTGTCTCTCTAGATCTCTTCCGCCGGTCGGCCATCCTTGACATTTCGTCTCTTTTGCACCGTGACTCCGATCATGTGACATAACTCTAGCGATATACCAGTCTTATTTGGTAAATATCTTCCTCCTCTTCCATCTTCTTTTCCTCCATCTTCTTCTCCTTCATCTTCGTTCCTCTGTTTTCTTCTCTTACTTTTTTTCTATTTTTTTATTTTATTTTTATTCCAGGGGCTGGGGGGACCTGAAGTAATCACGACTGAAACTCACTCCGTTGAGTTTCAAACCCTTATGTGCCTAGCGGGTTTCGAACTCAAGACCTCTCACTAGGCACGGTAACCTCACAATCAGGTAGGCTGGAATGCTTGGTTCTCTTGCTTTTTTTCTATTTTCTATTGTTTCATGTGTTTAATTTTTAGATTCAAAATGAGTTTGAAAGATTTCCAAAATTTATTACGGAGTATATGAAAATTTCAGATCTGAAAAATCTACAACAAATGTTTATTTTTGGAAAACAATGTAATTTTCATGATATTACATGTTTTTCAATATGTTTGATTAATAATGCCATTTTACATTTATGAAGTTGGCATTAACTACATAAAGATGGCAATATTACTTGAATATGTTAGACAATAATGCTATATTTACGACTATTAATGTCATGTATTTTTTACAAAGTGGCATTATGCTTTTAACATGGCATTAATAATATTTCACTAGAATAATTTATGGTGATGGTGTAGGAGATCTCAGCAATCCAAGCGGAGAGTGTGGCAGCGATGGAAGACCAGGCGGATCAATAGGAGGACTCGTCGGAGGGAGGCGATGGCGGCAGATGAAGACTTGCTGAGAGCGGCGGCGGATTAGGAAGCTCCGGTGATGGCTCCGGCGTCTGGCGGTGGAGGTAGCGGGCCGTGGTGGTGGTGCCGGCAGGCCGCCAACAGTGGTGGCACATGAGATTGGTGACAGTCCACAGCACATCTGGTGCAATAATACAGCTGTGTAATTTTTTTGTGTTTTGTTTTATATGTCAGGCAGGGCCGGCCATAGGGGGAGTTACCCTAGACAAGTGTCTAGGGCCTCCAAAT